TGTATTTCTAGTTAGGATTTTTGACTTCAGTGTCTTTGCACTTTGCACTTGCCCACAGAACCTCATTGCCACATTGACGCCCACTCACCCAGCCTCAACAGATCCCTCTAGAGTGACTCAGAGTCCTCCCTGGTTCTCACTGTTCTGAACAACTTAGTGTCATCTGCAGACTGCTTACTCCCAACTCCAAATCATTTAATGAACAAGTTAAGAAGCACTGGACTCAGTACTGAGCCCTGTGGTACCCCACTGCTTACCACCCTCCACTGAGAAAACTGCCCATTTATACTCACTCTGCTTCGTATTAATCAGTTTTGAATCCACAAGAGAACTTGTCCTCTTATCCCATGACTATTGAGCTTAAATAGGAGCTTTTGATGAGGAACTTTATCAAAAGCTTTCTGGAAGCCTAGGCAAACATCTATTGGGTTAACCCTTGTCCACATGTTTGTTCACCCCCTCAAAGAATTCTAACAGGTTAGTGAGACAAGATCTTCCCTTAACAGAATCCATGCTGAGTCTTCCTTGATAGTTTTTGTTCACCTATGTGCCTACTAATCCTATCTTTAGTAACAGATTCCACCAACATACCTGGTATCGATGTTAGACTGATTGGCCTGTAATTTCCTGGGTCACTTCTGGAATCTGTGTTAAAGATGGGGGTTATGTTAGCTCTCTTCCAGTCCTCAGGAATGGAGGCATATTTTAATGATAGATTGCATATTTTTGCCAGGAAATCCATAAGTTCACATTTGAGTTCTTTCAGAACTCACAGATGTATGCCATCTGGGCCTGAGTTTTAAGTTTTTCATTTGTCCATCAGTCATAGAACCTCCTCGTCACCTCAATCTGACTCAAGTCTTTCAATGCCCCTCCTGAAATCAGCGGTTCTGGATTGGGCAAGCACCTCCCATCTTCCACAGTGAAGACAGAAGCCAAAAAATGCATTCAACTTCTCTGCCTATCATCCTTTACTAATCCTTTTACCCCTTGATCATCCAAGGACCCCACTGCCTCACTTGGACTAGACTTCCACTTCTTAAAGGAATCCTTCTTACCTTTTACTATTTCCATTACTTTGTTCATTAACCATGCCGGCCTTTTTTTAAAACTATTTGTACCTTTCCTAACCTGCAGTATAAATTTTATCTGAGCTTCTAGGATTGTAGTTTTAAATAGTGTCCAAGCTTCCCCAAGGGATTTGACCCTCCTTAGCTTTCCTTTCAGTTTCCTCTTCACAAGCCCCCTCATTTGAGAGAAGTTCCCCCTTTTAAAGTTAAATGTGGTTGTACTGGTCTTTTGGGGCAACTCTCTATTTACATAAATGTTGAACTTAATAACATTATGGTCACTGTTCCCAACCAGTGCTATTACATTTACATCTCTCACCAAGTCTTGGGCATTACTAAGGACCAAGTCCAGGATCACCTCCCCCTGATAGGTTATGTGACCATCTGCTCCATTGCACAGTCATTGAGAGTATCTAGAAACCCAGTCTCTTTCTCCTGACTTGGACACATATTGTTCCCATCAATGTGTAGGTAGTTAAAACCACCTATTATGACACAGTTATTTTGTCCAGCTGCTTTCCTGAATTCTTTTGCTATTTTTAAATCATCCTCTAACCTTTGATCTGGTGAGCAATAACAAACTCCCAAAGTTAAACTTCCTTTTAGGGACACTATTTCCACACATAGTGTTTCTGTAAGTGAATCTATTTCTCTTACATTCTCAATCTTACTCCACTGTAGGGATCAGAGAGCAGCTCCAGGTTAAGACAAAGGGAGACATCCCATTCAAGGAGATAACATCTATGCAACCTATACACACTTTAAGAGTGATGCAGTACCCCCACCCCAATGTCCAGGCATGCTGACCCTCACTCCAACAGAAACCTGATGTGGATCCTGTTCTAAACATTTCCAGGAAACACTTTGTTTAAGGGATTGAAACAGACTAGGCTGAAACATAACAGGATGACAGGTTCCAAACTCTTAGGGCAAGGGTGTCCAACATAAGGCCCAGGGGCCGGAACTGGCCCATCCATGGCTCTTATGTGGCCCGCAAGCAATTAGTGCAAGGGAGGGAGCAGGGGACTGTTTGTTGGGGAGTGGGCGGAACCACTCTGATTGTGGTTTCAGCGTGGCAGAACAACCTCATCTGTAGCAGTCAAGCAACGTGGGAGCATCTGGCCCGTGCTGCACCACTAGTTCTCCAGTCCACCCATATGGGTTTTCCTTTGCACCCCCCCTCTCAGCCCATGGGGCCTTGCAGTGAAAATACAACAACTCAGAGCTTAGCAGCTACTGTCCTTTATGCAGTTTATATCTCCGGTACCTATTATGTTTTAGAGCACACATGGTCTTGGCCCAGCCCAACAAAGTGACATTTATGTCAGATCCAGCCCTCATAACAAATGAGTTTGACACCTCTGTCTTAGGGGGTACAAATAAACAAAGTAAATGAAAAAGGATAAAGATAAATAAGAAATCAAGGCTAAGGCAGTATTAAGTATAAGACTATGAGTAAAGACTTACAGTGCCAAATGAGTTTGACACCTCTGTCTTAGGGGATACAGATAAACAAAGTAAATGAAAAAGGATAAAGTTAAAGAAATCAAGGCTAAGGCAGTATTAAGCATAAGACTATGAGGAAAGACTTACAGTGTGATGGTGCAAAGTGCCATCAAGTCACAGCCAACTGATGGTGATTCTGCAGGGTTTTCAAGACAGAGGTGGTATTGCCCTTGCCTTCCTCTGCATAGCAACCCTGGAAACCTTTGGTGGTCTCCCATCCATGTACTAACCAGGACTGGTCCTGCTTTGCTTCCAAGATCTGATATGTTCAGGCTAGCTTGATCAATCCAGGTCACAGCTATGGTATGATACAGCATATGAAGAAAAGCTAATCAACGTTTCATAATGGTTCAGGAAGATGCTTTAACAAAAGGGAAAAGGAAATTCCTGGAGACCTGAGGACAAAGTGAGGAAGCCCAACAGAGATGTGACGTGGATTGCTTCAGACAAGGCAGGCAGCATATTAGGGACGTAATACAAGAGTTGCTCCAATGGCTTCTCCAGTCCTCAGGTCCATTTGGCCTCTCTTCCACGCTGCATCAATTTCTGTCTTTGTGTTGCTTGGATCCACCTCCATCCCCATAGGCTTCACAGTGGTTGAGCACAACCACAGGACCAGGTACGGTTGCCAGCTCTGGGTAGGGAAATACCTAGAGATTTGGGGGGGGGGGTAGAGCCTGGGGAGGAACCTCAGCAAGGTCCAAGCCCATAGGCTTCACAGTGGTTGAGCACAACCACAGGACCAGGTACGGTTGCCAGCTCTGGATAGGGAAATACCTAGAGATTTTTTTGGGGGGTAGAGCCTGGGGAGGAACCTCAGCAAAGTCCAAGGCCATAGGATCCATCCTCCAAAGCAGCCATTTTCTCCAGGGGAACCAATCTCTGTTGACTGGAGATCGATTGCAATTAGGGTTGGCTTCCCCCTGGTTGGAGGTTACCCCGATTTCAAGGGCTTCAATCCATCGCCGACTATCTTGTTGTACGCAGTTTATGAAACACTTTGTACTGTGCCACTAACAGGTTTAACTTAATAGGTGCACTTAGCACTTCCATGGTGCATATGTTAAGTGCCATTTATGATTCTAACATCATGAATGTATTCAGGTATTAACTTTGGTTCATTTGTAACTGTTGTTTGGATGCATGCTGGGAAAGTAAAAATGCTGATGCTTGTGACCTTGCTTGTTCTGGCCAGCTACAACTGCGCGTTTCTGATGTCAGTTAACCTAGCTAGAATGAAGAACAATAAGCACTCTATAACCATATGTTATATAGATACAACTTGGAGCTTCATAGAGTACTGTTCTGTTAGGAAAAGAAAAACTGCCTGGGAACACCCATCCCCCAGGTCTTAACCCAATGGGAAATAGGTGATGAAATTTGACGAAATTTGATGGAACCAATAATTCTGTTTTATTTCTCTGATGTAATGTGAAATAAAAAATGCTATGTCACCCATTGTAACACTCTAAGAGTCTGTTAGGTATTCAGGGGTTCCAGACCATGATATCTGTACTCTTCCTTTATTAATTAATACATTATTTTTTTGGTCTTCTACTCTACAGGATTGCTTTGTGTGTTTTCTCAATTTGGCCTGGGCAAACACAACCAGGGACAGAGGTTCTGTCTAACAATCAGGCTGGTGGAGGAAGCCCCACTCCCAAACAGCCCCCTTCTGCTTTGGCAGTGCTATGACGTCACCCAGTAGTGACACCATCCTGTTGCCAGTATCAGGGGGCACTCTAGTTTTTGGGCAAACTCTATGGTTTTGAGGGCAAAAAACCCCACAGTTGTACTCAAAAACTAGATCGTCACCCCCCAGAGGCCAGCAATGCGATGTCATTCTGGGTGAGGTTATCACATTTGTGCGCATCGGAGCATCCCAACAAGGAAACCCCCCCCCCACTGGACGGGAGGTAGCTCCAGGCAACCTTAACTGCAATAGGGGGAGATCTCCAGGGACCACAGGGAGGTTGGCAACCAAGGGGGCAGGCCATTACAACGGCCCCAGTTTTGGCAGCAGACAGGCTCCAGGACTACCCGTCAAACTCAGACCAGCCATCCCCGGAGGGCGAATCCGGAGCTACCGGGCCGGAATCAGGGGCCTCATAGCCGTTGAACGGCCGCCAAGACTTTGAAAAAGGCGCCCCGACCAATCCGAGGGGCCGCTGACTCCACGTCATCCATCCGGCTCCGCCCCCCACGCGTGCGCAATAGACGATCGCGAGAACCGCCGTTGGCCTTTCTGAGGCGCGCCTTCCGCCCCGCGAGAACAGTAGACGTCCCCTGCTTGCAGGCTTCACCCCCTTTTCCTGGCTAAGGGCTAGAGGCTCCGCCCCTCGGTGGGCGGAGCTCTCGCGGAGGGCCCGCCGGGTAGCCGCTGCCCGGAAGCGGAAGCGGCGGGGGACGCACGCGCGGGCGCGCGTCTGGGAGGCGGCGATGTGGTAAGCGGCCGCGGCTTTGGCTGGCTCCGAGGGAGGCCGGAGGCGACGCCGGTTGGCGGGCGAGACGGCCGGAGAGAGCTCCGGGGCCGCCGGGAACCGGTAGAAGGCCGGGGCCGCCTGCTCTGCGCCGAAGCCGGGTGGGTGTCGAGAGCGGCGGGGGAGGGGCTGCCGGGGTTGCCTCGCGGCTCCGCTGCCTTTGCCGCAAGAAGGGGAAGTCGTCCCCGCCGTCGGACTATGCCTGGGTCTCCGCTGGAGGGGCCGCCAGTGAGGAGGCCCTGCTGGGACTGGGCGCCGCTTCCAACCCGGCCCTTAGTGGCAGATCTTTGCGGGGGGTGGTGGGAGAGGCTCCCCCGGGGCAGCCCGGCCCAAGATCGCTTTGGGTCTGGAGGCCGGAACTAGCCCCAGGGAGAAGAGGGGGGGGGGGGGGGTGGCGCTGTGATTCCCGCTCTGTAAAGCGCGCGGCGGCGCTGGAATCCAGAGGCTGCGGAGGCAGGGCTGGCTCTTTGGCTTTCTGTCTTGCTTGGAATGGTCGTGGCAGCATCTTTCTTTGCCAGCGCACGGCTGGGGTGACTCATCCCAAGCTGATGCAAGGTACTGCCGGTCATGACCGCGGAGAGAGGTTCTAGAAGTGGTGCCAGATCTAAAAGCTCCAAGCCGGGCCTTCCCAAAGGAAAGCAATCACATTAGAGCCGTCTTTTTTGCCTGTAACTAGGTCATTGTGGTGGCTGGCCTGACCTTGGGAGTAGCAGCAGCCTAGCGGCCGAAATAAGACTCGTGAAGTTTTTCTAGCATGGAGATGGGTGGCACAGAAACTTCCTATCTGCTGAGCCTGTGTTGGAGTCCTGTTAAAGGCACTGAAGAAGTGAGCAGTGACTCACAAAAGCTCATACCCTGCCACATACTTTGTTAGTCTTTAAGTTGCCACTGGACTCTTGCTCTTTTCTACTAAAACAGAGCTTGTAGTGCCATTTCTTGTCATTTCTCACAGCTCCCCTTCCCATATTTTAATACTTACTTTATAATCTGCAGGATATTTTCATGTGAAGATATGTCCGTGTTCTGCTGAAGACGTACTCAGTTTACCCCATAAATGTGTGATGCCTGAGGTCAAAGGTATGTGTGCATGTGTGGTTGATCATAGCCATGCTGTGATTGTTAGGGTCTCAGGGCTGTGAGGGTTTAAAATGGGTTAGGGGAGGGAGATCTTCATATTTCTGACAAGGCTAAGGGTACCAGGGATAGGGGTGTCGTTTTCCCCCTTCAACCTGTCATTAACTTTTTCTTTCTTTCTTTTTTGCTTAACTTCTGTATGTTAGGATTGGGACCAATTTTTTTAAAAGATGTACTGGTTGTAGCCAAGGCTGAAGCAAGACTCCTCGTAATCCTGAATCTGCGATGGGGTCATTTATTCAGCATTAAGGGAAATCTACTTTAAATGTAGTTACTTCATCTGTTTTGCATCTGAGCCCTGGACTGAGAAAATGGTTCTGAGGCAACGCTCCTAGCTCAAGATTACAATGGTGGGAAAAACTTTGTGGCTTGCATACTAGAGAGACCTGGATAGATATCCCATTTTTGACATGGTTATAGGGGGTGGGGGTCATGCCAGCCTAGTTATTGGGGTAACAGGATCTGGTTGGATGGGTTAGAATAGTCACTTTGATGAAGCTGAGCATGTCTGGCCTGAAAATATGAAGACCCCAATAATTCCTGTGTATCCTGTAGACATATGCAACGTACTTTAAAGGATGCTTCTGTTTGAAATATGACCAGTCTTGTATGATATGCTAATAAAGAGTACAGCGTTATCACTGCGTTGATATCCAAATATGCTGCTAAATCCTACTGTCACTACAGGAGACTTTCTGCTAAAATAACACACGTGCCCTGTTTACAGTTTATTTTCACTATTTTTTCTGACACTCAGATAATTAAATCTAATATACAGTGTTGCATTGTTCTCTCTCAGGTATTGGATAGATTTCAGAATTTTGCTTGTAGAAGTTTTAAATTTCATGTATATGTCAACTAAGACAATTGTATATGCTAAATTTACAAATTATGCATTTTATCATGTTTAAGAGCTGAAATAAGTTTAGATTTGATAGAAAGTATTAACAGTTTGAGAGATGCAGAGGGGACAACAATACTAGCAGAAAATAATGAGGGCTTGAAACAACTGCTGAGGTTGACGTGCCAAAGCAGGATAACAACTGAACATCAAGATGACACAAGTAATGACTACAGAGGAATTATCCAATTTTAAGACTAACAGTGAAGAAATTTGTTAAAGGTTTACTGTTCCTTGCCTCAATCATCAGCCTTTGGGGAGACTGCAACTAAGAAATTCGAAGGCGAGTGAGACTTGAAATGGCACCCATGAAAAGATCCCTAAGTGTAAGGAAGTGTCACTGAATGTCAAGATCAAGATAATTCGTACAATGCTATACCCGTAACTATGTATGGAAATGTAGAAAGCTGACAGGAAGAACATTGATTGATTTGAAATGTAGTGTTGGAGTTTTATGGATACCATGGACTGCAAAAAGACAAATAAGTGGGTTGTAGTCCAGATCAAGCCTGAATTCTTCCTGGAAGCTAAAATGACTAAACTGAAGTTGTCGTACTGTAGCTACTTCATGAGAACATAAGTGACACGAATGTTGGATCAGGCCAAAGGCCCATCCAACACTCTGTGTCACACAGTGGCCAAAAATACCAGGTGCCACCAGGAGGTCCACCAGTGGGGCCAGGACATTAGAAGCCCTCCCACTGTTGACCCCCCCCAGCACCAAGAAGACAGAGCATCACTTGCCCCAGAGTCCCTATCTATACCTTATGGCTAATAGCCACTGATGGACCTCTGCTCCATATGCTTATCTAATTTCCTTTTGAAGCCGTCCATGCTTGTAGCCGCCACCACTTCCTGTGGCAGTGAATTCCATGTGTTAATCACTCTTTGGGTGAAGAAGTACTTCCTTTTATCAGTTCTAACCCAACCGCTCAGCAATTTCATTGAATGCCCACGAGTTCTTGTATTGTGAAAAAGGGAGAACAGTACCTCTTTCTCTACCTGCTCTATACCATGCATAATCTTATAAACCTCAATATTCCTCTCAATTACAGTCAATCACAGTCAAACAATGCCCCTTCCTCCCTGGAAAAGACAATAATGCTAGGAAAAGTTCAAAGCAGTGGGAAAGGGGGAAGATCCAACAAGAGACTGATTGACTCAGTAAAGGAAGCCATGACCTTCACTTTGCAAGGCTGTTAGTGATAGGATATCTTGGAGGTCATTCATTTATAGGGTTATTATAAGTTGGAAGTGGCTTAACAGCACAAAACACAAATACAGAAGGTAGTGCATATATTTTATCCCTTCCCATGCACACACCTATGCACTCCATTTCTTTGTGGGAGGACAACCCCGGGGGGGGGTGTTCCATGGCTCCACCATTTCCCAAAGGTTTTGCACTGCTGTTCTGGTTTGGTGCGTAAAGGGATTCCCAGGGGGTCTCCCAGGGAAGCCACCTAGACTTCCAAGATGGACTATAAATGCACTAAATGATTAATTCTATCTTGGGGCCTAGTTGATATTTTCTTCTTTGCTGATGTTATATTAGCCCATAATCAGCCGTATTTTTCTCTCGAGTTCCAAAAGTAGGAGGAGGTAGGTCAGGAAACACAGGTTGTGGTCTTTTGCATAGCAGTAGGTATTAATAAATGATTTCATGATGTTTGATCATATGATGGCTACTGTGTGAATAGATGGTGCAAGCTTAAAGGTCATTCCCCAACACTGGTTCCTTTGTGAACTAAAGTGGCAACATTTTTCTGTGGAATTTAGAGAGCACTGATAGTCTGATGCATGAAAATGATAACCTTGTAGCATCTCAGCTACATGAACTAGTGTTTTGTCCTGAGGTGGCATATTAAGCCCTAAATGAACAGCGTTTAACTTTCTGATAACAAATTTGGAGTCCAGTGGCATCTTTAAGACCAACAAAAGTTTATTCAAGGTATACGCTTTCGTGTGCAAGGCACACTTTTTCAAATACTTTTTGATAAATCACTGAAGTAGAATTGAACAGCAAGTTTGATGCTGTTTCTTTATGGCTTAATCAGAATTTGTTCTGTACTTAAACTGAAGCTCTTTAAGAAGGTAGATGCTCCTTTACTGCTCAAAGTGTGGCTGTCATGGTCCAAGGGGAAGGGGGGGAGATTGAATTGTGGGGGTGACCTTCATAAAGCTTTATTTTCATGTGTGGTCTCTGCATAGAATCTGATCGATCTTCACAACAAATTGTAGCACTAAGCATGTAATGAGCCATTCATAACTCACAAGTTTTTAAAAATTCTTTTGGTTATCAATTGAGACACTGCTTAACATCTGAAATCTGGAAAAATTTAACTTGCTTGATTTTCTACCTGCTTAAAAACAAGCACTAATTCTGAACTGCATTTGATTCTTGTTTGTCTATTTCATTCCAGTAGTGGTGTAAAATGGCTAAGAGGGTGGCAGAGAAAGAGCTGACGGACAGGAACTGGGATCAAGAAGAAGAAACAGAGGAGGTAAAAAATGTTAGTTATGTTTTTTTCTTTTATTAGCAATAGTCTTCCTGTAAATGCTAACAATCAGTGCGGAGATCTTGGAAACAGCAATTACAATAGCTTATTAGTATGCTAAAGGTATGCAGCTGGCCGAACAGAAGCTGACCCTGCTGGTGGATCTCCTAATGGCACCTGGGTTTTGGCCACTATGTGACACAGAGTGTTGGAACAGATGGGTCACTGGCCTGATCCAACATGGGTTCTCTTATGTTCTCTTGATACCACAATGCACTGAGCCAAAAACTTTCCCTATTTAACTTGCACAGAACAATGAGCAAAGCTGATTAACAGTGGAGTGATAGTCTCATTCATAGAGCTGGCATGTGTTGCTTTTTATTTTGGTAGCTGTAGGGCTCACTTTGGTGATAAGGTTAAGTTACTGCATATTGTGCAAAGCGAATTCATGGGTCTGGTTTCTGCGAGCCATGTGCTTGATACTAAGTATTCTGCTTGTTAGCTTTTTGACCACTGCTATTTTCAGGTGCAATTTGTTTAGCCAAAAGTACTTTGCTTTATGGATTAAACATTCTTCTACTGAGAGCTATGCAGAAATAATTGAGAATATAAAATACATTTTTATGTCAAAAGACAAATCATTAGAAGGGATTGCAGTCTTATTTTCACGGTCTTTCATGTATCTCTTCTGTATCTGGGGAAATTGCTGTTTTGTGCAGCTGCTAACAAGGTGTCGAGTACACCATTGTTGAAAACAATTTCTGTTAAGATCAAGGCCATCTTATTCATTTGCTGTTAACTTATTAATGACTGTGCTCTGTAATTATGTTTCTTCCAAAGGCGTATCTTTAAAGGGTAATTTCTTTACACTTAATCACTTAGTTGATATTTTGGAGTATGCCTGCCCCCCATGAATTATATGACTGCAAGCAGGTGGTTTACAGGCTGGGGGGGAGGGTAAATCCCATTCTTTCCCCCACTGACTCACGGGTGCCCATTCATTGCCTGCCTGCCTGCATTGCCACCACCTTTGTGGCTCATGTGGTTGTGGGGGTGGGGAGGCAGTGATATCTCCTCACCTGAACACATTGCCATCTCTCCACAGATTGCACGATAAGTGGATATTAGTATCTGTGCTTTCACAGACAACACAACATGCCTCTGTTGGGTGGGATTTAATCCTCCATTTTTTGAACTTTTGGGGTTTTTTTCTGCTAACTAGGTTTTCTTCCGAAGTTTGTAGAAAGATCTTCATTCTCTTTGCATGGCCCCAATTCATGGATTTAAATATTTGCAACTGGGGCTACATTGAGAGGGAGATACAAGCAGGAACCTGCAAGGGCTTGTGGGGGGCAGCTAGGATTGCCAGGTCCCCTCATCACACCAGCGGGGGGATTTGGGGGTCATTCTGGGATGTCCTCAACACAGTGATGTCACCCAGAAATGATGTCATCACATCGGGGACTTCGCTGTTTGAGGGTGGGGTTTCCCCAAGTGGTTGGTGGTGGTTTTGAAAGCTGGCTGTGTGGCCCAAGGTCACCCCTCTGTGGCAGAGTGGGGATTAAAGCCTGAGTGTACACAATTCTAGTCTCATTCTTACCACTACACCACCCTGGCTGTCATGCAGTGGCTGCTGTTGAATGGTATTGAATTATCAGGTGGCTGCTGCCAGGCCTAGTCCCAATGAGTTCTTCCTCCAGGGCAGGTAGGAGGGGAGAAGGGTGGTTTGCAAGCCCCCCCCCCCGCCTTTTATGGATAGCAACCAAAGCTTGAAGGCTGTTAATACTGTTGTGGTTGCTTAGCATCCTCAACAATAACTGCTGAGATCTCAGAGAACATCCATTTCTTAAAGCTAGAGGTGCTGGTACTATCATGAGGGAGGTCTAATCCCCAGTGTGTTTTTTCCAAGGTTTTCTGCAAACCTGGTGTTTTTCTAAAGTTTGCAGAAAGATCTGGCTTGTGTGTTCATGTGTCCAGTCTACAGATATAAGTATCCACAGATGGAGCCATGTTGAGAATTAGGTACATTGATGATTTCAGATGTTCTATGAAACCAAGAATGCTTGTGCTGGCAGCCTTCCTTTTAAATTAATTATAATGCAGTTGTTTTTAGCAAAAATGAGAGACATGCTTCCTTGACCTGCAAGACTGTTATTGTGTATGCATTCTCCGTCTCAATGCATATTATCAGTGGTTTAGGATAAAACTCAAGACAAATTGAGACTCTTGAGCATCACTCAGGAAAGCAGTTCCCCACGTGGGTCAGATAATCCACAAAACGGGTATAGCGCCAGCTATATGTTAAAGTACAATATTTACAAAAAGGTCAAAACCAGTGGTTTGTAAGCCGCTCTGAGACTCCTTTGGGTAGTGTAGGGCGGGGTATAAATCCAATCTCTTCTTCTTCTCTAGTAGTCCCAGAGGGAGCAAAACACATGTGGAAAAGGGGGGGGGGACCCAAAGCAATAGAGACAAATGAGTGGTAAAAGTGACAATGTGGAAATGGGCATGGTCTGCCTTGTAGTTTTGGGTTCATTCATATTAATAGTGATGTATGTTGTTTTTTTGAAATGGCTGGAATCCAAACAGCCCTGTCAATACAGAGAAAGCATTTGTGACAAGTAGTTACTGATCTTGCATTCTGACGAGTGTTCCCTGTAAGCTGAGTTAGTGTGAGCTAGCTCACAGATCTTCGACGTGGTCTCTGTGCTTCGCACCAATGGGATCTAGTGCGCACGCGTTGGATCGATCGGTGCTGTAGCAAGCTCTTTTAACGGATTTTCGTGCCAAAGTCCCTCGGGCATGCGCAGGAACCCCACCGCGCATGCCCAGAGGGGTGGGCGCGGACATCTCGCCAGTTCCTTTCTTACCGCCACGTTGGAAAGACCTCTTTCGTCGTCGGTCTGATCGGTTCGCTGTTCGCTTTTGCCTTGCAACTCTCAGCTCTTCGGAATTATTTCCGTTCTTTATTTTATCTTTTTAGTGATTTGTTCTTTAAAAAAACTTTTAAAAACACACCTTTATTTTCTTCTGAGGGGAATTTACCTCAGGCCTTTGGGCCGCCGCCGTCCCCAACCGTTTTTCTCCACTTCTCTTCTTATGGAGAAGAAGTGGGAATTTTTCAGGGGAATTTACCTCAGGCCTTTGGGCCACCGCCGCCCCCAACCGTTTTTCTCCACTTCTCTTATGGAGAAGAAGTGGGGATTTTTCAATAGATGCAGACGTTGTGGTAGCAAACTTGCTCCTCCCGACCGTCATACCCTCTGCATTTTTTGCCTTGGAGAGTCTCACAAGCCAGAGTCGTGTTGTCACTGCGCTCGATTCTATAACCAAATGAGAAAGAACCGCGCTGCGCGCCTTAAAGTGGTGCTGCTTGAATCGGCCCTTGCTCCTGCCTCAGCAATGGAGGAGAGACCGTCTACATCGACAGCTCCGGCATCGAGACCTGCCTCCGATGTCGACCGGCTGATACCGAAGCATCGACATCGAAGACACGATCGTCCGCCCCACGCCGATCAAGAAGAAGGCTAAGGCAAGTACAGAGCATAAGTCCGTGAAGAAGGGCACCTCCAAGTCCCTTAAGGCAGCGAAGAAGGGGAAGGAAGCGGTGCCTGCACTGGGTGATGCCCCTATAGTGCCTCCCGCTCCAATGGCAGTATCGATATCGGCGGCCCAAGTCCCTCCACCGATACCGACCATCCATGTATTGGACTCCCCTGTCCACCAAATGGAGCCTCCTTACTCCGACATCGAAATGGTAGAGCTCCTAAGTCATCAGATGGATGCAGAGCATTCTCCGTCTCCTTGTCCGTTGTCGACATTGACAGTATCGGAAGCTCCCGACGTGGATCGACGTCGGCACCGGTATGCCTCATGTGACACGCAGCGTCACCCTCCTCGTCTGCTCACTCAATCTGTCGATATCGACGACCGACATTACAGGGACAATACACGCAAATGAGCTAGTCTCCCAGACATCCACGGTCCAGAAGCCGCTCCCCCAGAGTCTTCCTGCCTCCCCCACCGCCAATACCGTGGAATCAACGACAGTTGAGGTACTTCTACGGGGCTTACCCACCGTCCATGCCGTGGTTGACTCCAGCGGGCTATTCTGATTGGGATTTGTGGGATCAACGACAGTTGAGGTACCTCTACGGGGCTTACCCACTGTCCATGCCGTGGTTGACTCCAGCGGGCTCGCTACTCGACCCACTCCGTTCATAGGTCAAGATCCCCACACAAGTTGAGACCTTTGGCACCTCTGTCGCGTCCTCCTGTAGTCGATCCGTCCCACCATACTCTGGAACCAAGTCATCCACTTAATCCTCCGGTCACTCCAAACCCTGTCGTTCCTGTTGTCCAACCGAAACCAGTACCTTCTCAACAGGACATTTCGGTCCACACGCCACAACAAGACTCCTGATTTCATGGAAGAGGACTCAGATACGGAGGCTTCTGAGACTCATACCTCTCCAGACCATGCATCTCCTAACCAAGATGTTGCGGAGGACTTACCTGTCTCTTCATCGGACAACCTTACCTCCTACACTGATTTAGTCAAGAGAATGGCCCACTCTTTAGGTCTCTCTGTCGTCCAACAACACCCGCAGGTGACAGATTCTGTTTACGACATAGTTCAGCTCGATACCTCGTCCACCTTGGCATTGCCCATGTCCTCAGTACTACTGCAGGCAGCAAAATCACCATGGCTAAAGCCTTCGTCTGCTCCTGTCTGTACAA